AACCACCCACAAAAACTTGCTTTTGCTCCTCCTCAAACCCCAAGCCAGTTCCTCCATTTGCTCAACTCCAAGTTGCGCTGCGCTGCCAAACGCGACGTAAGCAACCGACCCTTTTGGCTGCTCATTTAGCCATTTCATGCAGGCATCATTGTTGGTGTCGAAGAGGCTGACACCATATTGTTTGTCATCCTCAAGTCTCTTGTCCAAGTAATGGGATGGTATGGTTGGTCCAATGGTCTTCAATGGCAGAAATGTAGCCATCCAATCCACCACCTGTGCAAATTTTAAGCAAAATATATAAATTAAAATGAAACATCAAAATCATACCTAAACTTAGCACCCAAAAATCATATCAAAGCAAAATTAATCATAACTAAAACACAGCTTTCTCATGTTCTTGCTCTTCCAACTCATAAAATGTGTTGCATAGAACCCAGTCAGCCTTTTCAACATTAGGAAACTGACCCACAAGCATTTTATAGACAGCAGGGTAAGTCCCCAATTCATACACATAGGATGGCATGTCAGAAGGGACAAGTGGAGGCAACCCAGGAAGCAAAATTTGAGACTGACTAAGAGGAAGTTTGAGTTCGCCTTTGTAGACATGGTACAAAATGTTGTTAACAGCACAAGACTGAGTGAAGAAAATAGCCCCAAATACATAAACAATGCAATCAACTGGGCACCCTGAGCTTGAAAGCTTCACAAGGAGCTGAGCTAGAGTTTGTGAACCCACTTGACAAAGGCTCTCCAAATAGGCCTCTACACTTTGAGCATGTTTAATTCCACCCTGGTCATAACCATCCGAAATGGTCTCTAGGGCATTGTAACTACCAGATCCTGATGATTTTTCCATAATTGTGTTGTAGTAAAAAATGGTAGGGACCAGTGTGACTTTGACCCCTTTTTGATGTAAAAGCTTGGAAAATTGGAGCATGGGATTAATATGGCCTTGTTGGGTAGGAAAGGTTAAGACCAAACAATGAGCTTTGTAGGCCCGATCTGTATTTCCTCCATTGAAGATGAACTTTGTGGAAGATGGGTTTGGTTTGGCCAATTTAGATCTAGATCTGGAGTTAGCCAATTTATATATAGGTAATCTTCATGCTTTGATTTTTCCACACATTTTCTTGCACGTGCACATTGACCTTGTATTAAAGTCATCACTTAAAAAAAAGAGAGAGAGAAGTACAAGCTAGCTATGACAAGTGCTGTGTTAATTGCCATTATGTTACTCACTGATGTGATCTAAAAATGTGTGATCCTGACATTATCAAAATAGCAATTAGTTTTTAAAACTTTGACATGAAAAAAAAATTGTTTCTGAAACTTAAGGTTCATATTGAAGCCAAAGGAAATTACTAAAACACAGCTTTTCCCATGCACTTACTTGTTTTTCCAACTCATAAAATGTGTTGCAGAGCACCCAATCAGCTTTCTCGACATTGGAGAACTGACCCACAACCACTTTAAAGATGGCAGGGTAAGACCCAAAATCATATACAAAAGATGGCATGTCAAAAAGTTTAAGTGGTGGCAACCCAGGAAGTGAAATTTCAGACTGGTCATCAACAACAGGAAGTGTGAACAATCCTTTGTGGACATGGTACAAAATACTGTCCACAGCACAAGATTGAGTGAAGAAAGAAGCCCCAAGAATCCCATATTTCTTGGCAACATCTAAAGACCAAGGTATCATTGCATCATAAACAATACAATCAACTGGGTATTCTGAGCTTAAAAGCTTCTCAATGAGCTGAGCCAGAGTTTGTGAACCCACTTGCCAGAAGCGCTCCAAGTAGGCTTCTACACTCTCTGCATGGGCACTCCCTCCTTGGTCATGCCCATCTGAAATGGTCTCTAGGGGAATATAACTGCATCCTGATGTGTTTTTCATTAATTTGTTGTAGGCAAAAACGGTAGAAACCAATGTGACTTTGACCCCTTTGTGATGTAAAAGCTTAGAAAATTGGAGCATGGGATTGATATGGCCTTGTAGGTTGGGATAGGGGAAGACCAAACAGTGAGCTTTAGAGTCTGATCTCCGCCTTTTCTCCATTGAACTAGTTTGTGGAAGATGGGTTTGGCCGATTTAGCTCTAGATATGGAGGTGGGTTGCAGAGTGGAATTTGTGGTTCCATTTACATGTACATCCACTACAAAAGTTATCAGTTTGTTTTATCTCCTTTGTCTTTGTTATTTGTGCTATCGTGTAGTGCATGTGAATATGGGTGGACGACAAGTATCATTTCATATTATTACACATAAACTGTTATATCAGGTTACTATATTCCAGTGACACACAATAATTACTCATATCTTTTTTATTTGTTACGTATTATCTCACTCACAATTAGAGAGTATTGGGGTGATATTAGTTGTCATCACCAATAAAAGTGATTATTCAAGAATTAGTAAACTCAGCACCAAAAAAATAAACCGTACAAAATCATGCATAAAACATCAAATCCACCTTCAGTCACTATATGTTAATTACAAACTGGTCCTAATGTTTAATAGTCCATGTGAAGCATTGATGTGATCTAAAAATGTAATCCTAGCATTACCAAAATAGAAATTTTTTTTTTTTGAAACATGAAAATCATATAACAAAAACCTATAAAGAATGAAAATGACTGAAAAACACAAAACTTTTTCATGTACTTACTTGTTCTTCCAACTCATAAAATGAGTTGCATAGGACCCAATCAGCTTTGTGAATGTTGGAGAACTGACCCACAACCACTTTATAGATACCAGGGTAAGACCCAAAATCATGGACAAAAGATGGCAAGTCCAAAAGTTCTAGTGGTGGCAACCCAGGAAGTGAAATTTCCGACTGGTCATCAATAACAGGAAGTTTGAGCAATCCTTTGTGGACATGGTACAATATATTGTCAACAGCACAAGATTGAGTGAGGAAAGAAGCCCCAGCAATCCCATATTTCTTGGCAACATCTAAAGACCAAGGCACCATTGAATCATAAACAATGCAGTCAACTGGGAAGCCTGAGCTTGAAAGCTTCTCAATGAGCTGGCCTAGAGTTTGAGGTCCTACTTGCCAGAAGCGCTCTAAGTAGGCATCGATGCCTTCAGCTTCTTCCCTCCAGCCTTGGTCATAGCCATCTGAAATGGTTTCCAGAGCAATGCCGCTCGATCCTGATGATCCATGCATTAATGTGTTGTGGACAAAAATGGTTGTGACCAGTGTGACTTTGATTCCTTTGTGATGTAAAAGCTTAGAGAATTGGAGCATGGGATTGACGTGGCCTTGGAGGATTGGAAAGGGCAAGACCAAACAATGAGCTTTGCGGTCTCTTTGTGCTTTCTCCATTGAGCTTTTCTCTTCTTTTCTTTTTTTGGTTATGGATCTGGAGTTTGGTCAATTTATAATCATGTGCAAGGACTAGAATATCGATAATATCGATGATATTATTGTTTTTTAAGGTATAGAATATTTTGGAACATATCGTATAAGTATTGATAATATCATAAAATATCAACGTCTATAATTCCTCTCACACTTTAGCAACATTTGGCCGAAGTATCGAGATATTGAGATGATATCACAAAACCCCCTGAGGCTATAATATCGATAATATCGAGATGATGAAGACCCTAAGAATATATTATTCAAATCAATATTCTGATTTAATAATATATTTAATATGAGAGTTACCTATTTAGGTTGAGGGAATAAATTCCATAAATTCCCTCAATCTATTTATTTCCTTCCATAACTTCCCCAACCCAATTAATCAAGAGAGGAATAATTCTCCATTATTCCTCCTGTAATTGTAAAATGAATGTTACGAGAAAGGAAAATCTATTTAAGCTAAATGGTGGACACAAATAAGGTAACTCTTCTTCACTCGGAAAAATCCCATCTCTCTCTCTCTCTCTCTCTCTCTCTCTCTCTCTCTCTCTCTCTCTCTCTCTCAACGAAATCAGGTTTAATACTATATTTAATAGGGAAGTTACCTATTAAAGTTGAGGGAATAAATTCCACGAATTCCTTAAATTCCCTCAATCAAATTATTCCTCCCTTAATTGTAAAATGAATGTTACGAGAAAGGAAAATCTATTATTCAAGAAATGAATATTCTCTTTAAGGAGAATTATTCCCTCCTTAAATGGAAAAGAATAGGTTACAAAGATGAGGCTATTTAAACAAGAGAAGACAAATAAGGTAATTATGAACTTCTTCCTAACTTGGGAAAACCCTAAAGATTACATACACACCTCTCTTACCTACTCGGCATCATTTTAGTACTTTCATCTTGGTTCCTCCATTTTGCTTCAATAAAATTAATTTTTGTTTTTGTAGCTGTTTTCATTTTCGGTTTTGTTTTTTTTTTTTAACATAATTGATATCTACATTGTATTTTTGTTGCAGTTTCTGTTTTTATTTGCAGTTTTTGTGTGAACATGTGTTGAAATGATTTGTTTTTTTGTTTTTTTATATAAATATTGTATAACTGAATAAATATTACAAAATCAAGTTTGGTGTAGTGGTTTGTGAGTGAGCCTTCCTCCTTTAAGGGTCAAGGTTCGAGTCTCTTCAATGACAAAAAATCTTTTTTTTTAAGGTGAATAAAGGGCAATGGAGTTGGTCCCCTGCAAACGGTGGCAGGCCTGCCACAAGGAGGG